CTTTGTTTATTATTATTATTATTATTATTATTATTATTATTATTATTATTATTATTATTATTATTATTATTATTACTTCCAACGTCCTCATTATCTTTCTTGCAATCGACGTCGGAATGATTCAGGCACTTTTCTCATATGATCCGTCTCTTATGTAAAACACAACGGTGATCGCTGAAATATTAATACTAGATTGAACTAGTTCAGAAGTTTGTCCTTTTTTTCACCCAGTTTTATATTAGATAAAATCAAAGAAATGAAAGAAATTGAATAATTTTGTATATGAAAGAAGACTAGTAGTAGTTCGTGGCAACTTCGAGTCTGCTAAAGTTTCATTTTCTATTTAACAGCTGTGACAAATCTTTCGTATCAATCTGACATATCTGTTTCCGTTTTGGGGATCACCTTAAACGTTTGATTTTATAAATTTGTATTATTGCTCTTAACTTATGTGTTTAGGGAAAACAAAATCCGTCAAGAGATTATCTATATTTAAACATTTATCTATCAAAGTGTCTGAACCATTCCGATTAAAAATATATGTATACATATATGTATATACATAGCTTTTTATCGTTTATATTTATGATGAGACTCGCGCAACACAACACACGATCGGGCCCGTATTTTGGCTCTAAAGTCGCGGCGAAAATCCGGGCCTTTTCTCTTCCACGGAGTATGCCGTTGTTCGAGGAGCTTTCACTCGGGCTGAAGCCTTCGCGAGAGCGGCAGCCGACGATGATACACACACACACACACACACACACACACACACACACGTGCGCGCGCGCGCGCGCGCGTGTGTGTGTGTGTGTGTGTGTGATGTTGCGCACGTCTCATCCTGTGTACCTGACGCCGCACCGATCGACATCGGTTGTGTCTCATCGGTTGAAGTAACACTTCTCGTTTACACACGTATACATATGCAGATAGATTTCCGGTGACCGTGACGGAAGAATTGATTAATGTCGCAATATGCATATGTCCTACCTACCAAAAAAGAAAGAGAAAAAAAAGGTCAGAAGGAAAAGGAGAAAGATTATAGGTCGCACCTTCCTCAGACCATTCCAACGGTGGAAAGCCGCGTAACTTTCATTAGTCGCAATAGCATGCACCGTCGAGGTAACGGGAAAGAAGGGAGAGTAGAAAGGAGAGAGAGAGAGAGAGAGAGGAGAGAGA